TCTATTATCTACAATGACCCATATAGTATATAAACTTTAATTGGATAGTATTATAGCCGCAGGGCCTGATTTAGGCATTTTCTGTCCAAAATAAAAAATGTGGCCCCTTGTCAACAGTAGTGTATATAGTCTAATTAACATATTTAAAACCCTTAATATCCCTTTTAATATCTACTCCATAYTAAACACAAAATCCACTACCGCCATTAAATTAGTAATTTCCTTCATATTGGATGCTGGCTTTATTATATAATATTATAATGTAATATATTATGTTGTATAATGTATAGATTGTATATGTTGAGCTATCATAGTTTTATAAAAATAGCTAATAAAAAAAAAAAATATATACATTTTTTTTATCTCTACAGGCTACAGATTTCTTGTAACTATTATTTATTAATTAATATAGGTATATAATATTATATATTTATTATCGATATTGAAAACAAAATTTAACATTTCTTTTATATTATTTATTGGGGCTAGGTAAATTGAGTCTGAGATAAGTTTGGTGAAAACGATTTATATGCATTTAAAATTTAAAAATGTGCACTATAAAATTTTTAAATTTTAAATGCATATAAATCGTTTTACCGCTTTCAAAATGTACCAAACTTATCTCAGACTCAATTTACCTAGCCCCAATAAATAATATAAAAGAAATGTTAAATTTTGTTTCAATATCGATAATAAATATATAATATTATATACCTATAATAATTAATAAATAATAGTTACAAGAAATCTGTAGCCTGTAGAGATAAAAAATGTATATTTTTTTTWTTTTTATTAGCTATTTGTATAAAATTATGATAGCTCAACATTTACAATCTACACATTATACAACATAATATATTACATTATAATATTATATAATAAAGCCAGCATCCAATATGAAGAAAATTACTAATTTAATGGCGGTAGTGGATTTTGTGTTTARTATGGAGTAGATATTAAAAGGGATATTAAGGGTTTKAAATATGTTAATTAGAGTAATGCGTTAGATTAAAAAAAAGTAATACTCTAAAAAAAAAAAAATAATAATAATAAACATATAAATCCGAGGCCCTCTAATAACGGAGGCCATAGGCAGTTGCCTATCCTACATAATGGTAAATATGGCCCTGATTATAGGTGATGTACTATATGAGTCATTCTAGTTGATAGTTGGTTACAAGTATGAATRTAAGATTCGTCTGTGGGTTATCAAAGTTCATATTCTCCATAAACACCAAGACTTACTGTTATATTATTGGTTATTATTTTGTTTATTCAATTGTTATCAAAAAATGTTATGGATAAATATATATCACTTTGTTTATGAAAAATAATCTGTTGTAGTATTTTATTAATTATTTAATTTTAAACAAAAGTTATTTATATCTTTTTGGTTACGTTAGGTTTTGTATAGGTGGTTTAATTTAATTTAAATTAACTATATACAAATAGCGATTCAGTAAAATATAATCAAAGAGATTTAAGGAATAGTATGATTACTCGTCCCTGATTTATTAATATATATATATTTAATGTCTATAAGAATAAAACGTTAGTTTTGTTAGGTTACATTAAAATTAATTTGTTTTTATTATATAATTTATGAATGTAATAAATTATGCAAAATTCACTAATATAGTAATATTATATAATGTATTTTACTATAATATGTCGATCAATGATTAAACTTGAACATTTCTCGTTACTTTTCATATCACTATAACATAAATGTAAAAATAATAATGCATGGAAAAAGATACAATTAACTGTTTTCGTTTAGATACTTGCATGCAATATTATCCACAGTTATATAAATTATATATAGAGAATTTGTAAAATCATTGATTATTTAAATTGAATTACTTTTTGTCAATTATATGATGGTAGCTTTCTTTTAATAGTAAATTTTCATTTTATTGTGCATTACACAAATTTAAATTATTGGAAACTAATAATTGGAATTTTAAGACAGGGCTGTATATGCGGTTAAATTTAAAAATTGTACATAATTGTTTGTATTATTACCACCACCACTGATAATATAATAATAATAATTACATTAGTAGTTTAAAACCTTTAAGGATTCGTAGGTACAGTAATAAGTGGTATTTGAATTTTTTTTTTATCCAAACATTGACTTCTGCAAGAATCTCCATTGCTATACATTCCTTTGTCGTGCATGCACTTAGAAATCATATTAAAATAAATTCTGCACTGATGTGATTTACAATACATGCAACGTTATAATACTCGGAGTATATTTGTTATAAATACTTAGAACATGAATCATGATAATATGTTTAAAGTATAAGTTATACTTCTACTACAACTGTATTCTACAGGAACAAAAAACCAAAATAATTTTACTTGAGTGTATTGTTGTTATAAATTTATAATGATATATTAATTCGTTGAAAAATAAAAACTCAAACGATGCCATAATAAAAGGCATACTCCGATCAGTGCAGCTATTAAATTATATTAATTTTTGCTCGGCGATTATCGAGCGATTTATTTTGATGAGTAAACATTATCTAATAGTTGTATCTAAATTTGAAGTTAAATTAAAAAATTGATTTTGCATCAATATTGGATATAATAAAATAAATGTACAAATTAAATTCCAACGAACCTAAAATTCAAAATTTAAATTATAATTTAATAAAATTGTAGATTTTTATATTTGTCCTGGTCTAGTGTAAGGCTTAAAATATTATCGATCACGTCCAGATTTATGGGGTTAGTTGAGGGTAAAATGTATACTATATATATTTATACTTATTAGATAATATTCAACTTAAGATGTACAAATAGTTAAATATATAACTTTACCTTTGTTATACGTCCGCTGGTCAGATCTGGCAAAGACACTATTATGACACTGTCATGTTCTTATTAACATGTTAGTTCTATAGATTTTTTACTTATTTATTGATATAAAAACTATGACGTACATAGTAATTTACAACAGCATTTATTTTAATTAAATTAAAATAAATTATTGAGATCAGTACAAAATTGTTCGTAGTCTATTACATTTTGCAATAGTTCTTAGCTGTACTGTAGTGTGTTATAAAAGTTTCACATAATATTAAAAAGTACTGACTCATTTTTTAGCAATCTAGTGTGCTATTTGTATCAAAAACTTTTACTAAAAAGTAAAGAATAATGTCAACGGCACTTAGTGTTCCCAAGCGGTCACCCATCCAAGTACTAACTACGCCCGACGTTGCCATTAACTTCAGTGATCGGACGAGAACTGATGTACTCAACGTGGTATGGTCGTTGGCGTTTAGTTCTTAGTATTTTATCTTATTTAGAGATCAAATTAATCTGTTATCAATATAATAAATTTTCGTTATACAACAAAATAAATTTAATGTCGAAGTATTTTTTTTTTTTTTAATGCGAACTTAAAATGAATATACTTATTTTATCATTACTAGTTTCACATTTCATATTATCAAAAATGTCAATCCCTTTGATTTGTTAAGTTTGTAAATATTTTTTTAATCCTTAGGTAATAGTTAATAGGTACTACCTATATTCCGGCTATATATTTTCATAAGAACAAAATCGGTCAAGTATATAACGCTCTTTTGTACATTAGGTGTCTAGAAAAGTCTTTGTAATATAGAAATGAAAAATTTGAAATTAGTGATATAAAATCAGTGTATACGAAAAATGGTTCTAAGCGAAGACGGCCTGTCTCCTATAGTCACCCTATAATATTGCTGAGTACCTAAAATATAAATAGGTACCCTCTAATATAGTATATATATTATATACCTTCTAATATTTATAATCAATATATAATACTAAATTTCATGAGAATATTGTGATTGAAATAACTAAATTATTTACCATTTAATATATACTACCATTTTCATCTCGATTATAAAAACTAAAACTGTTTGACAAATGTTAATATATTTTGACTAAATATGTAAAATTATAGATACATTTTTTCAAATAATATTCTAATATTCTTTCGTTGAGTGGTGTATAGTTAATTTGTTCCCTTTATTTTATTTTTCATGTTCTGAAGTGATTTTATTTGACTTAATTTTAATTTTTAACCTCATGATACAAATAAAATTGAAATTTTACTGCAATGAGTTTCGGAGGGAAGGGATTCCTGAATTGGGTTTCATTGAAATTAGCCTAAATCAAACGGATAATATCACAATAAAATAACATTGTAGTTTTTGGAGAGCTCAAGTTATAAGGGGCTGCTGGCCGAAAATATTGTTGAGAGTTGAGTTGAACATGTACCTACGGATAACTCTGTGGGTCGAATTTATCAGTGATGAATCCTATTATTTATTATAATAGATATATTATTATTCAATATTCAATATTAACCTGATGATTTGTGACGACTACCTTAATAATCAATATTTCTTATTTATACAAATATTAAATGAGAAATACGACCTGTAAATAAAATAAAATAATACATTTCAGTCGTCAACGACCATACCACGTTGAATACACCAGTCCTTGTCCGATCACTGATATTAAGCAACGTCGGGCGTAGTTAGTACTTGGATGGGTGACCGCTTGGGAACACTACGTGCCGTTGGCATTTTTTTATAACTTTTTAGTTGAAAGTTTTTGATATCAAATAGCGTACTAGATAGTTGAAAAATGAATCGGTAGTATTTTAATATTTTGTAATATTTTGGTGCCAGGACAATACGTTATTTTGAAYAGCAATATAATATATGTACGAGATTGTAATCATTTTAGGGTAATTGACAATAAAATAAATTTAGTATTTTAAACACAATTGCATCATTGTGAAACTGAATCAAACTTAATAATATTTTTTTTAAATAATAGTCGTTGGTAATTTCAAATTAATAATTTATAATAAATAATTAAGTATGTACAAAAATAAATTACAAATGGGTCAATAATAACAAAAAAAGAAAATATTACAAATAAATAAATTAAGAAGATTCAATATAGATAGGTAAATATTATGTATACAATATTTTTACAAGCAATGTAATGTATATGGTATACATGTATATATTATAATGTATAATCTTATGATCTGTCCAATAAGAAAAAACTTTACATGTCGAAGCGATCGAAAATAATTATTACTGTAAAAATACAAACTAGGTTACGTCTACGAAACACAGCGCGAATAGTTTCACAAAAATTACAATATCATTATTGTAGCCTATTCGTATCACAGAAACAAACCATAAAAACTAAAATAAATCGATTTTACAATGAAAAAAATACAAGTTTTAAATATAATATAAGGGAGTGGTTTATACGAAAACATGTTTTGATAATAATCAGTTTTTGTGCAATGAATTACATAATATTAAAATAGAAGAGCAAAAGTCTGGAGAGAAATATAAAGTAAGAAATTATTTTCATGATGATATCATTTAGTGAGTAATAAATGATATAATATTTTATTTGAATAATAATAAAATCAACATAATATTGTGGGCCGAACCAACGACGAAATCAGTAATATAATAGAGGTGTTCCCTTCGACCATATATAAACAACTAGATAGCCGACTATCCCCAAATACTGTACAGAATTTTGAAGTTTGTCCGCCATTTGCCTAAACGGCAATGTTTACATTTTTATGTGATAACACGATATTGATAACGGAAAAAACCATTATAAATTACTATTTTCTACCGAGTTGTAAACACATTTTTGTTGTTATCAAATATTGTTATCACATAAAAATGTAAACATTGCCGTTTAGGCATATGGCGATTTAACTTCAAAGTCGGCCATCAAGTTGTTTAAATATGTCTATGGGCGTACCTACGTTGTGTAGAGTGTCAGAAACCCGTTTGTTACCGCCGTAAATAATATGATAAGTACATATCGTTGCTTCCCCGCGATAATATCACTCTCGTCGCGCAATAAAAAACCTTTCTTCCGAATACGACTCAAGTGGTATATCGTTGAAAAGCTATGCTTTACTAATACGGTCCTGCTTAGAACTTATACATAATATGGACAACTTGGTTACCTACATAATATAAAAAGACGTGTGACAAACGGCTGTATATAATATATTAATATTTTATTAATAAAACGAGTCGGTTGGTACGCGCATTTCCATTGTTAATATTACTGGTTTAACAGCGTGTTGGTCACCTCCGAGATGGACAACAGAGGACTGCAGTCCTGTGATTTAACCGCGACTGAGACGGACTCGGGTACTGAGCCGGGGCCGGCATTACAGCGGTTTGGTGGTGAGCAGTGGGATTGTACAGATGATAGTAGTTGTTGTGGTGGTACGGATCGTGATGATAGGCATCGACCATGCTGCTGCTGCTGCTGYTGCTGCTGTTGCTGCTGCTGCTGCTGCTGCTGCTGGTGCTGCTGTTGGTGGTGGAGGTGGTGATGGTGGTGKTGTTGTTGTTGTTGTTGTTGCTGTTGCTGTTGCTGCTGCTGCTGAAATAAATACAAATCGACGGGGTCAATGTCACAGTTAATGTTACGCACGTGTTTTTGATCATATTTCTATCGTCTATAACTAATAACTTTATTATACGCGATACATTTTTTACGTGCTTTACGTCTATTCATTTATATAAAAGCTACGTGAACTTATAGCTATTTAGATAGATTTTAYACGATTTGAACTTTTGAAGTACATTTTGTATCTAAGGCATACCGCTTTTTCGTTTAAACAATCGACAAACTATTGATAAGATCCAAGTTTGTGCATCGAAATCATTATAATTATCAATACAATTAAATGTACCTACATAATATTTTCGCATATTTAAAACTAATACTTTGAGCTCTGGAAATGCATTCGAATGAATAATACCATAAAAWTTTTTGCTGTCGTTCATTTGTATTACTGCAAGTGTTATGTGAGCTATATTGATACATAATATTTACCATTTACGATTTACTTATTGTAGAATTTAAAAATATAATTGTATACAGTTTAGTGTTAAATGATCGTGTGATTGCGGTAAAGCATGGTTTATGCGCACCGCGATCGGATAAAAAAACTAAAAACAATTAAHTTCAAGAAAAATTATCGTTACTTAAAAATTTAAAACGCATGGTTACTGATAACTCGTTTCAAGTATTTTCATGTCTASTAGGTATATGTATARAAAATGAGTTGATTTTTGGATTCGATCGCATTGCGCATGCCTGTGCTCAAAAATAAAAACACTCACTGGTGGTGGTGATAAGCATAGAAGTGGTGCGGTGGAGGTGGTGKTGGTGGTGGGTGCGCGTGCGGGGGTGTCCATACCTCAGGGCCCCCGGTCAGATGATGCTGCTGATGATGATGGTGGTGATGATACTGGTTTTGGTGATGGTAGTGATGGTGGTTAGCGTACGCGGCTGCCGCTGCTGCGGCCGCTGCCGTCGGGCTTGGCGGTGTGTCTGGCATGTCCGATTGTAGATGTGACTTGCAAAGCTGGTCGGATGGACTTCCGGTTGGTGGCTGTTGCGGCGCGGGTGGTGACATTTTCTTCCGCTGCACGTACGGCGACGGTGGATGGCCGTTGATYTGTGGTGACGTCCTCGGATCACCACCACTGTCACCACCGGCACTACCACTACCTACATTCCCAGTAACGCTGGCACCACCACCAGCACCACCGTTAGCACAACCAGCACCACCTCCTCCCGTTCCACTGCCACTGCCATTAACACCGCCGCCAACGCCGCCGCCGCCGCCTCCGTTACTATTATTAACACCGTTGCCGCCGCCGCCCGGCGATTGGTTGGGCGGCGACGACGACGAAGAGTCCCCAACACACGTGCCCCACATGAGTACCGTTTGCCTGGGGACATCCGAATCAGACGATTGCATTCCGTACTCAGATTTTGAGTCTTCGATTTTCAGACCATTCGGCACCGGTGGCGAGGAGCTCTTCGTGCGGAACTGAACGTCGCACAATGGTATCAGGTACGGTAAACCGGCGGCGGCGGCTGTAGAGGTGTCCATATGACATTTTCCTATGTTGTCTTCGCCGCTCTGTTGTTGCTGCTGCTGCTGCTGGTGGTGGTGATGGTGGTGGTGTAGGTGCTGCTGCTGCTGCTGCTGTTGTTGTTGGTGATGATCCATCGACACCACTGGTGGCGATCCGTACAACTTGTCTCCGCATTCCCTGCCACCCACAGTCACCGTGGTCAGCTGATCGTATGTGGGCAGACCACACTGTACGGGTCCCCTGGGACTAATGTCTAAAAATCCATTGCCCATGTATGGTGTAGTGGCCGGTGTATGGTATTCGGTGTAGTAGTTGCCCAAAGGCCTGCAAATTAAAAAAAAAAGTATGTCATATACAATATAGTCTGTTAACATTCCTTCCCGTTTATCCTTTTTGAATTTATTCGAATTTTGATTATTATAAGTTTTAAGTAGACCTTCTTAAAAAATATATTTTTAAAAACTTGTAGATTGTTTTAATGTGTGGTCTGTGGCGATACAAATTATTTTTTCGAATGAAAACCTCTTGCTTTTACTGTTAACACTTATTACTTTTTATTAATAAATTAATTTTGGTGTACTTAAATTAAATTTTAGAATGCGTAGTTTTTGAGTAATTAAAGTTTATGTATTTAAGGGTAATAGTTCTTAATAATGGTTTTACAAAGCATATAAAATATATTACATTTGGGAAATTTTAATAAACTATTACTTATTAGTATGCAAAAATATAGTATTTTTATCTATTAGGTGTATTCAGACTTTTAAAAATCTGAATTTGTATAACATTATCGACGTACAAAAATGGAAGGAGTGATCATACTGAGCGAATTACCTTGTACCTAGTTAGATAATATGCCTACTCTACATAGGTGTAGTTATTGTATGGTGTTTAATTATTTATATGATGTTTTAGGTATATGTGTCACATAAATCCATAGATAAATGTATTAATTTATACACTATGTCTATAATATAAAACCTTTTGGTTTTTTTTTTTTTTATAAACTCAATTTTTACTAAACATTATACTTTACCTATATTGGAACAGGTTGTCTGTGGCCGTCAGGTACGGTATTCGAGTGTCGTAGAGGGTCTGATGGAAATTCGTCTGGTGGTATCCACCGTTATCAGCGACAACTGCCCCATTGTACGGTCCGGCCGAATACAGCGCCGCCGTGTTTAAGTTCGTGTAAAGGACGTCGGCGGTTGGCGGCGGTGCCGTGTGCGCCGAAGGTGCCTGAACGGCCGCCGGATAATCGATGGCCACGGTTGCCGCCACAGTCGGTGCCGGAGTCGCGGTGCTCGCCGACAGTTTCCGTTTCGTCCGGCATGTAGACAGAAAGTCTCGTAGGTGCGTTTTGTATCGGCGTCTAGGCTGCGACGGTTGCGTTTGACCGGGCGACCCGGTTGTTCCGGCGCCGGTGGTGGACGTCGCGGTGGTGGACGTCGTCAACGAGCCGGACAGCTGTTCCGAATCGCTGAAGTAACTATTCGTCAGTCCCGCGTCCAAGTAACTGACCTTAAAATCCATGGTCCGCTTACCCAACAGATCGCGGCCTTCTTCTTCCCTGTATACCGGGGGAATGCAGAAAAACGGTGCTATATTATAATACATTGTTGGTCCGCAGCGTTCAGCATAGGCGTGGTGTTTGCATAGCGTTTACGCTCAACCGAAAATTAGTGCGTAAGTACCTACACTCTGTCCAGCGAGAGAACATTTCACGAACCGACGAAAATCGGTCTTCTACGCATCCCTATATGACACGCTGCCATCGGGGAATAGGTTTCGATGATGGCAGGGTTCTGGGGGGGGTCACAGGATATATATACGTTGTCGTTATAAGTTAATATATTATATAGATACTTACATCAAAGGTCTGTGCGTGCCTATCACAAAGTCAGGTTTTGAGTTTTTATAAACTAGTCTAGAACTAGTCTGTAGCCATTGCCACGTGCCCGGTTTGGTCTGAACCCTATAGGCAATCATTCCCGATGCTCCAGTCTTTAACACTAAAAAACAAAAACATTTCGAATTAAAGTAATTGCACGGGCTTTTTAAAGAGATTAAACAATTTTAAACATTTTTAAACTCGTTTAAAAATTTATTCATGCTTATGAATTTTATTTTTGTTACTATTAAATATAGTATAATAGTGTGATTTTGTAGTGATAGACCAAAACACATCATCATAGTTAAATATTCATCGTGATTTTGAATATTTATTTTTTAACTTTGGACGATATAAACTAATATGTTATTTATTCCAGCAAAAATTATCATAGATGTGGATTATAGTTATGTGARTTATAGATACCTAGCTATACTATATAAACTTATAAGGTAGTCTAGGCATTATTCAGTAGAATAATGTACATAAAAAAAAACYCACACTAAATATTGAATTATTTTGAGTAATACGAGATTTATTTTTAAAAAATCCAACTTTTGATAAAAAAATTTACTTTTTTCAATTTAATAATAATAATTTACATAATTCTGGTTTAACTGCATATGTTGGTTGATAGGATAATTAAATTGCTTTAAAATWAAAAAAAAATTATGTTAAAATGTTGAAAAGTTTCGGAGAAACATAAAGGTAAAAAAACTGAAATTTGCCCATAACTTAACAAATAATAGAGTTAGACCCCCACTTTAAAGTTATTTTTTTTTCATCATTTTAGGTTTACTTTCATATGACGGCGGATGGTCACTTCCCTCCGGAACACATAGTATAGCAAATACTATATGTAACTGTACATTATATATCTATACCTATACAATAATTATAAATTTAGATTATGGCGGTGACTAAGTGAGAAACAAGCAATATRTGCATCTGCATCTGAGGTAGGTATTTGGTATTTATTATTATATCATAATATTTTATGAAGTATTATAGGTATTGATGTGTATAATATGAAATATCCAGTTTAAAAACACTTACATTCTTGATGGGCGCTGGCCACGTACGCTAAATCGTCATAATGGACTAAGTCATATCCTCCCATATTGGCGAGTTCGGAATCACAATAACCTAATAATAACTTGCCTCTGAAAAAAAAATTATGTTCAATCGTGTGTTAAATCGTCATGATTAATATTATATAMTGCGGAACTACAAAATTATATTATCTCACAAAGTATTAGCGTGTTTGAACTTCAAACAGTTATAAAAGAAGTAATGACATTGTATTTTTTTGATATTTTAGACCGTAATCYAAAAGAGAAATCAAATAAKACATAAGACTAARAAAAAACTAARCGATTTAAAATGTCTATAAGTAGATCAAAAGTGTCAAAATATATTTATAGTAGGTATGCTAAAAAATATTAATATGGTTATTTAATAAAAATTTCAATTCTTTAGTATTATTATTATTATCTAATTAGGTAGGGACATAGTTTTCAGATATAATTTTTAAATTTTAATAGAAACACAATCATTCATCTTTAAGATTTTAAGCGGAGGTAGTGTAATTTTTTGATTTTGTTATTTTGTATATCAATGCAGAAAAAATCTTTAGGTCTCTGGTTGCAGAATATGTTGTAAGATTATTTACCCTCAAAATTAAAAATACACGCGGAGGATCCCTGCTTAAAGTCTAAAATGTACCTATGTTATATTGTCAATCATAAAATTAAAAAGCTTACAAAGTAATAACTATGAAATAAAGTTAAAAATAACTTTGATTTTATTTTTTGTGACTTTGAATTATGTAAATAAATATTTTCAAAACTTAATTGAATATTAACAAATGTTAAAACAATTTCTCTGTATAAGTAATATAATATTGGAATATTAATATATAAGTTTTATGTTAAATAATCTTTTTAAATTATACCTATACAAATAATTTGTGAAGAGAGTAAATTTAAATTTTAAAAATATGCATACATCAGATGAGGCTTTAAAAATGAATTTAATAATATATAGTATACCATATCAGATAGTATATATATTTAGAGGACTGCATATAATATAACAAACGCATAAAATAAAATAAAGMGGTGTAATATTATGATTAGAATTTTAAAATATATAAATGAAATATATCTATGTACAAATTAAAYTATAGAAAATAAGATGACACAWACCTTTGGTCCATAGACACTAGGCTGAGATCYAATTTATGTTTACTCTTAAACATGACTTCCTTGTGCGGTATTTCAAGTAAAGACGGTGGGCCAAACGGCGTGCATAGCGCGAAAAGGCCCAATGGTGGTGGTTCRTCTGACTTGCGGTTTTGGCCATGAATTACTTTTATCCTTCCACGGACGTCTAGTCTCTATCCATAAAAAAAAGTTACATTTATTTTTKTCGTATTATTGCATAAATGAAGAAGACATGAAAAAATGGGACTGTACATAATTAGTAATTGTATAAATATGTTATATTATATAAAATTATGTGTTATTCATTATTATTATTATTATTATTGTAGTTGTTGTAAATTTATTTTACCAAAAAACCGGAAGTGTTGTCCAACAGACACCGGAAACGGATGGTGAAACTACGTTGCAACAGACGGCCGTTATCCGGGTGCAAGGCCTCGTGCAATGTGATGGACGGAGACGGCGACCCCGGTTCCGTGGGTATGGCAGAATTCCACATGAGCTGTCTCTGCAACTCCTCTCGGTCCTCGGAATGCACTAGTTCGTAAACTGACTGGTGAACAATGTCGGACTGTGAATTTAAATCAAACGATAGCTTTATAATAAGAACATAATATTCATGTGATATAAAATGACAACAACATGGATATTTTGAGGAAGAATGTCGAAACTAACACTTTAAAATCGAATTATAAATGTCAGTAATTATGAATAAAACCTTAAACCATAGAACAAAAGTAAAAATACCTTAAATACACAATTATGTTTTTTATATTGCATTGACAATTCCATTACTCATTAATCATTATAGTAGAGCGAGCACTACGGAGTTGATTGTTTAACCATACTATGGTTGTAGCATCAGACTTAAATATGCATYATGCGCATAATATACCACAAAGCACGACACTAAATGTATAGTAGCTATAATATAAATATTCTGTTTTTTTTTTTTTTTTTAATACTGAGCTTGTAAATTATATTTACTATTTATTATTAATTTTTTTACTCAACAAATTGTTTATAGTTAAAAGATTTTTTAAAATCTAACATTTATTATACCTTTATTATTATTACTATTATTTATTATACATTTATTATGTGGTATAGGTTGGCAGAATGTAGGTTTTAATACTGTCGTCATCGGGCGCGGATTCAGAGGGGGGCTATGGGTGCCCAGGCACCCCCTGTCATCTAGATACCAACAAAATAAATTTATATTATAAATTATATAATTTGTTATTTTTCAAAATAAAATTAATAATAATAATGATTTCGGTGCTTTTTGTTATCGCCGTCACTATACGACAATAATAACTATTATTGTTAATTATTGTTTTCGAAGTATACTCGTGTGTATAACGACACGCGCCAACGGCGGAAARCACCGATAACAATTATTATGAAAAAAAAGTTAGCACTAATAAATCAAATAGAAAATGGTAATATTTAAATAAATAGTAAGGTGTAACAATTTTTTTTTTGAGCACCCCCTGTTAAATTTTTATGGATCCGCGTCTGGTCGTCATGCATATGCACATTCATATTAATTCATCGTAAAATATCGGTTCACTTAAGTTATAGAATAAAAATGATATTTTATAATTTTATGTATCTATATCAAAAAGTAGAAAGTATTACAATTGGAATGGTGAGTATAATAATAATTACCGGGTTAATATTAAAATGCGCACAAAGTTTCAGGAAACATGGTTCACTTACCACACCATGTTCTCTAATTTCCCTTTGATTACTCCCACCTCTTACCTGTTATCGAGGAAAAATAAGATATAAATCAGTAAATAATTTCCAAAATTAGGCTTTAGTATTATTRAAAATCAATGACAGTTTCCAAAAAAGTACCGACATAATATATGTTCAAATTGTGTTTACTTTGTATAATTGTATGTTAAATTCAATGTGAATATTTATATCTTGTAGAAAAGTAGATCAACAGTGTTTGAAAATGTGATAAAATGTCTATATTTTTTTTAACTAGTTTATAACACGAACATTGACATTATTCAAACACGTTTCATTTAATCCATGTTAATATGATATCTTTAAATTAAATATACTTAATATATTTAATAATTCRGCACTATAAATGTAAATACTAATATACTAATATGTCATTAATAAACTACAATTTAACTAATTTAAGAAACTATTGTATCATTTATATGTAACTGAATACCTTCATTTTTGTTGCAAGTTAATAACCTTAGCAGCTGAAGTTGTATCACGAATAAAAACAAACTACAATTTCTTTAATTTTTCCTAACCTTTCAAATTTCTATATTTAAAAAAAAAAAAATTATATTTAATAAAAACTCACATCATATTATAATTTATAGCTAAATTATCATTCCAATAAAAATAATATTAGGTGTACAATATTTTCATGATTAACTAGAATAAATAGCATAAATAGCACAAACTGAGTATTGTTAAACGTTGGTTAATTCGAATACCTTATAGGCCATGCCTTATTCAAATTTTGAATTGATGGTCCTTGAATTATTATTTTGATTGAATAAAATAAATTCTACTGTGGAGGGTACTATCAATAGGTGGCCTGTTCATAATTATTGTTGTTATAGATTATAATAGCGTACTGTGTGATTTATGTATAAAGTTATCATATTTACTAATTGTGTTGACAAAAATAGTTAATTACATTTATCAGATATAGATAATTATAAGTTTGTTTAATAATACAAATTATTGGCAGTTAATAAAGAATAACCAAAACAGAGCCTAAAACCTTAGAATCGTTTTTATTCTTCGAGAAAGTGGTTTAAAAAAGATAAATACCTACTTTGATTACTATTTTTAATTTTGAGGGTTGTAAAAACTGATAGTATGCTCATTTTTGATATAAGTAATCGATTATGTAATATAAAATTAATATCTAGAATAAGTTAGGCCACTTAAATAAATACAAAAAAAATACACATATATTTCATAAAATATGGTTGTTCGCTCTATCGCGTATATTATACGTAGCTTCATTCAATTTTTCTTATCTATGTTTTTTTGTAGTTTGATCGTTAGATATTTGAAACATAATATAATAGATCATTCATGTATTATAATTTATAACTTTATTAATTATTTAATTAGTAACCTTTAAAATGGACAAAATTCGACGTTTTCATGTTTAAAATGTTCAAATAGTCCTAAGTGAGTTTAGATAAGGACTCATTATTATCAAACCGAACGAATTTAATCACATTATGATAAATATAACTGATATAAATTTAGAAAAATCTTACTACTTATAGTTATATTACACAACAACGAATTAATTTAAATTATCTATAACCAAACAACGTTATCTCCAGTTCGGCGCGATTGATAGTGATTATTAGGAAACTTTGTTCGTTGGTTTTCGTTTAAATGATAAGGAGGTGGCCTGTTTATTATTATTTTTTAAATAATTTCGAGAAGTAAAAAATAAATATTATTTTATATTTCAATAAATGTCGGAAAATTTATAAACATAGTTTGTAACATAATATGTACGATTGTTAGATTTTCTGATATTATCCATCAACATTAGAGGGATATGCATTTAAAGACAATACAATTTATAAATGACTGTGTAAGTTAATAATATTTGTTTCTTTAACGATGTCAGGTAATAATATTATTTTATAATATTTACGTTCAGCATTTTTCTGTTATTAATGACAATTGTTAGATTTAAAAAGTCTTGTGATTTTAAATACCAATTGACATAAATACATTTAGCTTGTAAATTTTAATATACCTATACTTTATTGCATACACCTGAGTCTCTCGTTTGACGAAAGTTATGCTTTAATAATATTGCTTTGTATACAAATGTTGTATACATATGCGCTATAAATGTTCAATTAATTTGTCAGTTAAAAATTAGTACCATAATAAAACATAATTAAAATAACAATAATAATGAAAGTGTCTTTTATACACATAGCCACATTGGTATATAATATATTGGTATAATATATGATATGATAAATGCGTATACAATAAAAGTATATAGGTAGGTTTTTTTGTTAGAATACATCTGCATGACCCATTATATTGTACCCACGTGCATACAGAGCACAGACGCAGCTGTTGAAATGTTACTATAATATTATGTAGGTACCTACTTTCAATTTTCAGTACACATGTTTATTGTTTATTATACATTTATACCAACAATTTTAATAAATCTATTGATTATCGGCTTTAACATAAGCTTAATGTACATCATTCATATTTAAACATAAAAAAAATCTAATACATTTAAGTTACCTGATGGAAGCCAAGGTAATTTTCTATGGTATGTGTCGCAAAGAAAACCTCCCCGTCACAGGTGAGCATCACCAAAAAGCCGTTTAATGCCTGTATGAGGTAATAATTAGAGTTTATATTAGAATCGTTTTGTATTTTCATGATTAAATTTCGCATTTAATTATTCACTTGTAAGAACATGTCTCCGTCCAAATACAAATGATGTGGCTCCGGACACGTCCTGGAACGCTGATACTGGGAGTTGGTAATATTGGCTTGTTCTTCTTTGGACTTGTGCATAGTAACTATAAAAAAAATATAAAACATTAAAATGCTATTAATCACACCATGAGTAGTAGAAATTATGTCAGTCATCCGTATAACGACTACCTATTATATTAGTAAGTACACCCTAGTGTGATGATTCAATTTGATACTGATATTTATCTATACTTCAACGCTTATACACACAATATGCACGCGTGCATCATTAGCTATAGAATATGTCTCGTTGCTATAACATTTTATTTGGAATTTAAATAAGTCCCGCATAAATACAACGTTTTTATTTTGATCAGTACATATAGGCATTATATACATACACATAAAGATTAGACTACGTGCAGGTTAAGTTGGTTMGATCTTCAATGTAACACCATATAACTTCATATCGTAACTTTATATCACGAATTACACAAAATGTTAATTGAAAACATTATAAAATGTTATTTGGCGAATTGCCCAATATACATATTTATCGAGATTTATTTTGTATAAATAATACGAACGTATAGACTACAAATTTAAAACCGGTATTCACAACATAAACATTTTAATCAGATTTTTCTATGCTTTCCTTGCAATTTAACCCTAATAAAATCGAAACGAGTGTAAATCTACTCTTTGTCATGTGTTTTAAGTTAACGGTTATAGTAATACTAGTCGATATTTACATACCAATGTCAAAATTATCCAAATTACTCGAGGCATGACGTTATAAAATAGCTAGGAACATTAATCCGTTTGTGCATTTTATCCATCCTTTATTGTTTTTTATATGATGGTAATAGGTAATCTGATTTAAATCATTCAAGTTACTTAACATTATAGCCAACAATTAAAAATCGAAACAATCTCGACTGGTAGAATGGTTCACAAAAAATTTAATTTTTATGAGTATTAATAAATTTATATTTTATATCTCATCTACATGATTATATTTTCCATATACTATATCCTAAATAATAATAAAGAATTTTGTAATTTTTTATCGCGCCCACCAACATTTTTCAGTTCATGTTACATTATCGATTGAAAAATATTTACACATGTTAGAGGWTTCAAATTGTAAAACTAAAAAGATCTTTTAAAGATCCGAGATGAAAACATAACAACTATTTTTAGTGTTTTTTTTAGAATATGAGGTTTTAATAACTATTAAATAAAATGTGATCGAATTTGAGTGAAATAATAAAACTCTTTTTGTATGTATTTATTTTAGTATGTTAAGTGTCTTTATTCAAGGCATTCAAAACGTATAATTTTATTTATTTTTAACTATAAAATCATTAGAATTAGGCGTGGGAATATGTAAATCTTTTTTGGTTTTTATGAAAAATAAATAATAAGTGATCTATTGCATTTTTTTCTTTTCACTGGAGCTCCATGTTCGTTAAAAAAGAACCCTGAAAAAAGCAAATCGCGCGGTGTGTGCTTTGCGCAATAAATCCATATAGTAAATAAATAACGAAAAGACAAATAAATAAATAATGATAAAAATTATCGGCCGCCCGCTGGTGATGGCTTATTTACATCCCAAACAAATCGTAACCCATCGGCGCCCCACCTTAAAACGACAACTAACGAGCCTAGTTTATTACCTCTAACTCTTCGGTCTGTATGCATACCCTTTTCATCCTGCTCCCCRTCTCCCTCTCACTCACTCTCTTCTACACATTTGTTCGTCTTCTTTATCCCGACGGTCTTTCAGTGGTTTTGCTTTAATTAACCGGACGAAAATTATTTATTATTGTGTACACAGCGGTCTTTGCCTGGATGGTATGAATGTTTTATTATTTATGAATTATCAGTTGTACGTATATATTATATTATATAAACATAAAAAATAAATTATATAAAAAAAAAAAACCATGATTCCATATGTAATAAAAACCGGATTCATAAACTTTTCCCGTGACGTACAATTTTTATTAAACTTACCGCAGCAACTACCTGTATATTCCTTACGTGTACGAACATTATACCTACGCGCGATGTAGTTTTTAAGCGAAACTTTAGCGTGCGTAACGTGAGGGGTGRTAGGGGCGGTGGTGATGGAATTGCTTTTCTCACCGTGCGACCGGCAACCCGTTTGTAGAGTGACATAAATAGATCACATGTCAGATTTTTGAAATAAAACTTGTGAGAAAGACTAACCAAGCACGTGCGACGACGTGCTCGGCTTTCACATGTTTCATCCTAGCTGCGCCGCATTTTCACAGGTATATAGGTATACACAGTACGCATATACATTGTMTCATTGGACGCATATGTGGGTGTTGGAGAATTGATGTTGGTAAGTGGAGGTGGTGAGTGTGAAAGGGGGGTTATCACAAGGGGAGGGTGCCAGCGTCGAAAAACCGTTCGTCGCACGCGATCCTACCACGGCCGTTTATATGTAATCCAGTTACCATGGGCACCTGGCGTCAAAACAAATCATCCCCTATCCACCACAACCACCCCTTCGGTCACAAATAAACGATTTGTGTCTCCCTCGTTACACTCTCCCTCCACCACCGATCACTTCTCTGGATCGCTGCCGCCCCCAGGTTGTACCTACCTGCCTGCCTACCTACTATTATATATATATATTATATATATAAAATATAATACGCATATATTATACATAATATATTATAGTTTATACGTATTATACGTTGTACACATATCGGTAAGCGAGCTCGAAAAATAATATTTCGGCGAAATACCACGTAAACTGGATTTCGTCCCCCCTGCAGCCATTACCGCCAGCCGGATATGAAGTCCCAGATACATCAAGGGTGAAGACGTATTATGTTGTAAAAAATTATCGTGGTCATTTTGAACATGACGTTATCCAGCTGCGATCACGGTGTGTTTATTGTAATAAAAATAATATCATATATCTTTTTATGACTTTCGAGATGTTTTATTTCCCTCCGCGGTGCATTACGCCGCAACGCAACACGCGTCCTATCCTTTCTACAATATCGACGTGTGGGAATTGTGTTGTGAATTATGTAGTATATAATGAAATTTAGTATATGTTTATATATTATATTGCATTATATAGGTACGTATGTATTATATTATGTGTGTGTATATATTTAACCCACACGAACACATTATTTAAATGCCAAATGAGAGTAAAATTGTATCTATGTCTGAGGAATTTTCGCCGGTTACCACGCATAGTTTTTTCTATATTATATATTGTTAGCCGCAGTTTTAGATATAAGGTTTAATCATTACATATTTTTTTGTGGAAATGTTTATGAACATCATACATTAAATCCATCACCAATTCTGCCCGTTTAAACATATACCATAATATTATTAATAAATCTCCGGTTTAAAATATCGTTTTGATTTTAATTTCTCTAAGTGTTTTTATTCGATTAAAAGATAACTTACAAGTATATTGTTCAAAATTTTAATCACAAATTCAATCGACCAATTGATTGGTTTAACGCACTAATAAACCGCACCATACACATTTGATTGTATAATTCCGTTTTATTTGATTACAAGAATTATTTTTAAAAATTTTGAGAAACTATTTATTCATTTAACATTGTATTAATGTATAATAAATTATGAGTAAATGTACCTATATAATGTTAAATAGTTAGGTAATTTGATCATTTAAAAATATTAATAATTCATCTAAAATTTACTTTATTTTTAAATCACTAATTTCATAAGAATGTTTTACTCTAAAATAATTAATACACATATTGGGAACAAATTTGTGAAAATGCTTGAAAAAAAAGCGGGTAAGTTGTGGATATCACTCTGCTGTACTGTAGGTTACGAGTGAATTACCTACTGTAATGGATAGCTAAATTTGAATCCAATGATATTATAACATTGTATACGAAAAACGATCCTGAGTGGAAACAGTTTATCTGTATAGGATATATTATAGATTATTAAACATTTTCAAATTTTAGATTTAAAAAGAAAATTTTTTATGAATTTCTAGCTTAAAATAATTTGCGAATTTTCGTGATTTTTATGTAGGTATGTTGTCAAAATTAAAACTTTGAATGCTTGTAAAAAAAAATTGTGACTATATATTTCTTTTATTTTTCAACTGTCATTGTAAAAATATGTTAGGAGCCTTGTATTAAATTTTCAAATCTTAGGTTTAAAAATAAAAACTTTTATGAATTTCTATCTAAAATAATTTGAACATWGYCGTAATTTTTATGTATTTAGTCAAAGTTTGAATTTTAAATGCTTATAAAAAAATGACCTCTCTAAAGTACCAGCTCAAGAACATTACTTTTCAGAAAAGATGCTACACTTGATACTTTTAAGCAAGTTTAGATAGAGAAAAAGTGTTTACAGAATAAAAAAAAAAGAAATAAACATTATCGCTCCGCTTAGAATCTATAAAATATTTTTCAAGAGGTTATTCACTACCTTCAATCCAGATATATAAGTATTGTAAAATTATTGTATATTGTTTTTCAATTTGTAAATTGATTAAAAAACCTAAAATACACAATCTTAATTATACTAGAAGTAAAACTATTGATAATTTTATAAAATTTTACACTTATCTCTTTAGATAAATAAATGAAATACGCATATTATGTGAATTACTTATTATAACCTGWAGGTAATAAGAAAATAAAAATAACAAGTTATTTCTTTTACTAATTTCATARAATAATTACTCTTATAGTGTTTAAAGAAAGTAATGGAATTTTTACTTTTTGTATAAAAACTAAAGGAATACAAATTCAGGGAGACCTTATATACATATAGGTATACTTCAAAACAAAACCGACAGCTGCTGTTCCATACAATTTTAAGTGAAACGAAGAATATTTAATGTTATCTTAGCACAATAATTATGCATAGTCATATAGAGCATGTAAATTGTCAGTTATCAAAAATATTACTTTTATATTATAATTAAAATAATGAAATATGTATAGAAGCGCTAGGTATTACTATTGTGTTTATGAGTCGTTTATTTAAATAAAACGAATATTGACAAGAAACAAATTAAAATAATAATTTAATTTTGTTGAAAAAATAATAGCTTTCTATACAATATGTGTGGAAATTATATATATAAAAAAGAATAAAAAAATATTGCTGGAGAACATCCTTAAATAAACACRTACAAATGCCGAACGAAATCAATGACTTATGAGACCACATAGAGTTTTGGACGACCATAAAATACAATATAAAGTAGCTGCTGTGGTAGAAAAATTGTATGTATATTTGATCAGTTGCTGGTGTTTTATTCTCGTTACAGCAGAATGCAAGATTTGATACATTACGTGATAATAGTATAGGCATGTGTAATTTATAGCCTCGCGCGTATGCATTACGGGAATTTTGGTAAACTGGAGTTACATCTCACACTGCAGTGTGCAGTGAACTGTTTATATAATATTATTGACTAATTTCATTGTTTTTTCTTGGCATACATTTTACTATAAAATATACATTCATCATACAATGTTTAAAAGTATTGAMATTGCAAATAAGTCCGATTTGAGAATGGAAACCAGAATGTACCCATGTTTTTATACGGTTTCTGTTAAGTTGTTTTTTTGTCATGTATAACATGACCGCAAAATAATTTGGTTAGTCTGAAACACAGCTAGTACTATATATCTTCTATATGTTTACATACACATTATAATACGTACGAAAACCTTTAAGTTATRTTGTTGACAACTAATTTGCGAAATCAATACAGAAATTGATACTCCAAAATGTATATCAAAAATATTCAAGTTATAATAATTAAATCTTTATAGTATCTACCTTTGATTTTATTGAAATAAGATGCAGTGGTATGTACTATGTATACCATAGTTTATTCTACGTATTTAACGCAAATTTATATAGGCATATAGGTATTGTAGCTAGGTATACGAAAAATGTAAAGTATCGAGACTAAACTGAAATATAAAGCAGACTCATAATATTAAGGCTAAAAAGTTGAAGGATTTGCATATTATTCTGWATGTTTTCAATTTATAGCGAACCAATTTAGAAATTCGAGTTATCGTATTTAAAAATTAAAAATGCATATTTTTTTTTTAGGGAAATAGTGCATAATTCTTGATTTAATATGGTAAGATAAATATTCCTAAGAAAAATTGATTATCTTTCTTCTTATAGATGTGTATTTTAATAATAATATAGAAAATAGGTAGTATTCATTATTATTGATGCAATCGACTATAAATTTAACGAAATCAGTTTGATGTGCATTTAACTCTATCGTACTAAAATTCTAATGAATTTATTTTAAATATATTTTGTAAACTATTCCTTCAATTTAATAAAATTTCAAAATGAAAAACGGTTTTTCATTTTCATATTTGATAATTTCGATTAAACTTCAATTTAATAGTATAAATTAATTTTTACATATTTTACATTTATTTTAGTGCGTATTAATAACGAAAAATGTTTTTTTTGGAATTTTGAATAATAATTTTTTTTACGAGTACTTATTAATTTTTCTTGTATATTTGATATTTTTTCATGCATATTCTACAATTTTTAGTTTATAATTACATGCATATTTTTCCTTTTTTAACTTCTACATAACTTCAGACTGAGTTCAGAGCCCTACTCGTGATATTTTGTTGCCATATAATCGGTACCATAACCATATAGAGTAAGTTGCAGTTGCAGTTATTGTTTTAATATGTTGTTCGACTTACATAATAGCTGATCCTCTAACGAAAAAAAAACAATTACAATTCAAAGTAATTAATTTCCAACTAGCTCGGGAAAGAAGGCGTATACCGTGAGGTGGGGGCGATGACATCATCGCGGGGAAGGTAAAAGGGAATTGGGGAGGGGGTGCCTGCCACCAAAACATCTGGTCGTTTGATTTATATCTGTCATTAGGACATTATACCTATACGGTTTAGGTGTAATTACCAGCGGCCCGCTATCATGTCCCAAACGGTCACACGTCAGCTGCTGCTACAGCAGCAGGGCCAGTCTATGCCGATATCGTCTCTCTCTCTTTCCTTTTTTTTCC